TCCTTTAAGGTGTCCTTTAAGGTGTGAGGTGGGGCCTCCGTGGATTGGACTTTTCCATCCAGTACATCCCACAGATGCTCGATCGGATTGAGATCTGGGGAATTTGGAGATCAAGTCAACACCTTGAACAAACCATTCCTGAGCAATTTGTGCAATGCAGCAGGGAGCATTATCCTGCTGAAAGAGGCCACTGCCATTAGTGAATACCGTTGCCATGAAGTGGTGTACTTGGTCTGCAACAATGTTTAGGTAGGTGGTACGTCTCAAAGTAACATCCACACGAATGCCAGGACCCAAGATTTCCCAGCAGAACATTACCCAGAGCATCACACTGCCTCTGCTGGCTTGCCTTCTTCCTATTTATCTTTTTTTGCCGTTTTCCTTTCTTCCACATATCATCGTTGAGAACTGACTTCACTTGCTGCATAATATATCCCACCCCTTGACAGGTGCCATTGTAATGAGATAATCAGTGTTATTCTCTGTGTTATGGCTGATCGGTGTTTGAGCACCAATTCACTGGGGCTTCTTAATAGTTAAATAACTTCAAACTATCCTATCACTTCCTATCACTGCTATGCTGATGACACTCAGCTCTATTTGTCCTTCCAGCCTGACGACCCATCTGTTTCTGCTGGCATCTCATCTTGCCTGTCAGACATCTCGGTCTGGATGAAGAAGCACCATCTTCAGCTTAACCTGGGAAAATCGGAGCTTCTCGTCATCCCAGCCTATCCCTCAATCAACCAGAACTTCACTGTACAGCTCAGCTCACTTACACTCATGCCAACCAAGACGGCCAGGAACCTTGGGGTGATTCTTGATGAGGGCTTGACCTTTACAGACCACATCTCAGCAACTGCAAGGTCCTGTAGGTTCATCCTGTACAACATCAAGAAAATCCGACCATTCCTCACCAAACAGGCTACACAGATACTTGTCCAGGCTCTTGTCATCTCTAAACTGGACTACTGCAACTCACTGCTTTCAGGCCTCCCAGCCAGCTCCATCAAACCCCTTCAAATGATTCAGAATGCTGCAGCGCGCCTTGTCTTCAACCAGCCCAAGACTACTCATGTCACACCCCTCTTCATCTCCCTCCACTGGCTTCCTGTAGCTGCCCGCATCAAGTTCAAGGCCTTGATGCTCACCTACAAGACCTTGTCAGGAACAGCACCCTCCTACCTCAACTCTCTCCTGAAGGCATACATTCCCTCTTGCAATCTACGATCGACTAGCGACCGACGTTTAGTAGTTCCCACTCAGCGAGGCGTAAGGTCCCTTTCCAGAACCTTCACGCATACCGTTCCCCAGTGGTGGAATGCTCTTCCGATCTCAATCCGGACTGCGGAGTCTCTCACTATCTTCAAAAAACAGCTAAAGACCCACCTTTTCCGTGAACACCTAACCATCTCCTAAAAAAAAAAAAAAAAAAAAAAAAAGACTTGCACTTACACCTCTACTCTGTACACTTTGCTTCCTCTGGTATTCAATTAATGGATCTTGTATAGTAGCACTACTTGTATTGTTCCCTGCTTGATATATCGCTTTGCTTATTTGTAAGTCGCTTTGGATAAAAGCGTCTGCTAAATGAATAAATGTAAATGTAAATGTAAACTATGAAACTATCAAGAGGCCTTAAGGAATTGAATTGGAAAAATCTTTACTGCTGTCCAGTTTAAACCTAAGTGTCATTTCCTAAATGTTTTGCAATTCCATTGTATTCTATAATTGGCTTATGGAGTATCTGCTGACAGAAAGGAAGAGATGAAGCTGTGGAGAGAACGATGGCAGACACATCTGATAAACCTGAGGCCTGGGTTGTTTTTGTGCATGGATGTAGCCCTCTTTGCTGTTATAATAACCTCCACTCTTCTGGGAAGGTTTTCCACTTTGGGAGTGTGGCTCCATGGAGTCTTCATTTGTACACAAGAGCATTGCCATGCTGGATCAGGTTTGGGCCCTTTAGCACCAGTGAAGGGAAATTGTAATGCTACAGCAAACAGAGACCTTCTATACAATTGTGTGCTTCCAACTTTGTGCTAAAAGTTTGGGGAAGAACCCACATATGGGTGTGATGATCAGGTGTCCACAAGCTTTTAGCCATATAGTGTATCTGCTTTTTCCATCCAAAAGGAGAGCACACAGGTATCTGAATTAATCCGGATACAATTATTCAGTTCTCAGGTACATTCAAAGAGCTGAATTAACGCAATTCTCAAATCTGGTTTACAAACCTGGATATTGGATTTGTTAAGTGTCGTATGAAGAACAGAGCCCTGCGTTTCAGAACTAAACCATGGTCTGAACACAGAAGAGCATTCGGGGGAAATTCGGGGGAAATGTTCCACTAGAAACTGGGTTATTTTTAATTAATTAAGTAATTTATTTATTTATTTATTTTAGATTTTTAGTTCTTAGACACCAATTGCAATAAGGATCCTGGTCGGAAAGGGACTTGTTTCTCCGTGACTTGTTAATGCCAGTGTAACAGCAGGTGGCAGTAAACACCATGTTTTGTTTTGTGGCTCTCTGACTCCTAACTTGTGAAATTCTTCCACAAAATTATTGTGGCTGTAAAGATATCTTTTTGTTTTGTTTTGTTTTTAAGAAAAAAAATTTTTTTAAGAAATTTGACTTGATTCATTTATTTATTTATTTTAACAAAGTGCACATTTTAGGCGAATTATTCTGTGAATGTGAGCTGGATGCAGTCCAATCATTTAATTTATGCTTCATTTTGATTTTAATGTTCTTAGAAAAGTATTTCTATGCTGAGCAACACGTGAATATCTATTAGAATCCACTGTTAATGGAGAAATTTTAACATTATTATTATTGGTAATTGTATAAATAAGCATCCTTGGGACTAAGGACAAGAATGGTGATGGGGCTGTAAACCACTTTAGATGGGTTTGCAGTGAAAGGGTGAACTTTATAACACACGAAGTTTAGATGACCAATTACACATGAACCAAATGTAACTGTAACCACTTTACAAAAAAACCCTAAAGTAGTACTATAAAGAAAACTGTAGGCCTAAAATATTGCTAGTAAGTTTTTATATATTTATATATATATATATATATCCATTAAGTCAGTTTGGTGCAAATTTAGCAGAAGAGTATGCAACCACATGAAAGTTGTGCACAATCATAGGCCTTCAGGATTTTAGAGCTGTTCTGTTCAGTCAGTACACGCTTTCTCATAACGCGCGTGTTTGAACGCGTTTTGGCACAGGTTTTTACCAGTACCCCAAAAACACTGATAAGCTCCACTTATTTTGATCTAGACGCTCCATAACAGTTGACATCTACCAATCAGTGGGGTCGAGGGGCGGGGTTTTAAGATGACACGAGCTGCACGGAACAGGCGCGCGCCACAATCTTTACGCGCGGTTACGCAGCACGCGCACTGCCAAGCGGGCACTTCTAGTCCTACGTGCAGCTGCTATGGGGAACGTCGAAGTGATAACGACAGAGGATTTGTTTCAGAGCGACATAGCGAACAGTTCGATAAGTTTTGGAAGTCTAGAGGACATCGACGTGTCGGCAGACGGCAGTCCGCTCCTGCGTTGCTTTATCTCCGTTACCTACGCGGTGGTGTGCGCCGCGGGTTTGGTGGGCAACTTGTTTGTGCTCGTGTTTATCCGGGCGAGACAAGCGCGCAGGAAATCCGAGACCAATGTCTTCGTGCTCCATCTGGCCGTGACGGATTTCCAGTTCGCGCTCACGCTGCCGTTCTGGGCTGCAGACGCCGCGCTGGACTTCAGCTGGCCGTTTGGCGACGTCATGTGCAAGCTCGTGCTTTCGGTCACGGTGATGAACATGTACGCGGGTGTGTTCTTTCTCACTGCCATGAGCGTCGCGCGCTACCGGTGCGTGGCATCCGCGCTGAAAGAGCGCCGAGGCGTGCGCTCCTCTGTCATGCTCGTAGCTGCCGTGTTGTGGTTGCTGGCCACAGCTGCCACCGCGCCGACGTCCATTTTCGCCACGGTTAACGAAGTGGCCGGAGAGAAGCTCTGTCTCTTACGCTTCCCAAACGGCCAGCGCTGGTTAGCTGTGTATCACCTGCAGAAAATCCTGCTCGCCTTTGTGATACCCATGGCCACCGTCTCCATCAGCTACCTGCTGCTACTGAGGATCGTGCGCCGCCGCAGCTTGAAGCCTAGAGCCAGCGTCACCCGCTCGGTCGCCGTGCTGGTGTTGTCCTTCTTCCTCTGCTGGATGCCCAATCACGCCGTGACACTGTGGGGAGTCCTGGTGAAGCTGAACGCCGCGCGCTGGAACAAGGCCTACTACGCGGTGCACACCTACGTCTTCCCGCTCACCGTGTGTCTGGCTCACGCGAACAGCTGCTTAAACCCGGTTATTTACTGCCTCATGCGCAGAGAGTTCAGGCGGAAGCTACGACACTTTTTCCTCCGTGACTGAACGCGCGCGCTCTCTCCATGCGCTCTCCACTCGTATGCACTCTCTCGTATCCTACACGTGGTCGTAGCTGTTGTTGCTTCCGGAGACGTAAAAGAAAACATCAGCAAATGAAAAAGGAGAACGTGCTTTCCACAAGCTGCGTCAAAATCGTGAACACGTTTGTTTTTGTGTGCGTAATGATGTGTAAAATGTTTATTGTTCTGAAAACACACTGAAAGCAAGACAATCTCTCTCCTATGGTCTTTGTACACTTACCAAGCCATCTGTAAATATATATATATGTGTGTGTATGTATGTGTGTGTGTGTGTGTGTATATATATATATATATATATATATATATATATATATATATATATATATATATATATATATATATATATATATATATATATATATATATATATTATTGTGTATGTATATATGTATGTAAATATATATATATGTATGTATGTGTATATATATATATATATGTGTGTATGTGTGTGTACAATTTTTTTCATATACAATTGGAAACAAATATTTACTGTAGTAATAGTATTTATTAATTTATTATAAGTAAATACATGGGGTGGGTGGGTCAGTGGTTAGCACTTTCATAGCACACCGAACGGGTTGGGGGTTCGATTCCCGCCGCTGCCCTGTGTGTGGAGTTTGCATGTTCTCCCCGTGCTGCGGGGGTTTCTCCGGGTACTCTGGTTTCCTCCCCCAGTGAAAAGACATGCATGGTAGCCTGATTGGCGTGTTCAAAGTGTCCCCGTAGTGTGTGAATGGGGTGTGTGTGTGTGTGAGATTGTACCCTGCGGTGGATTGGCAACCCGTCCAGGGTGTTCCCCCCCTTGTGCCCGATGCTACCTGGGATAGATTTCAGATTCCCCACGACTCTGAAGGATAAGAAGTATAGAAAATGGATGGATGGATTGACGGATTTTTGTGCAAACTTGTGGAGTCCATGCCAGCTCAAGTGCGAACTGTAATTAAAGCAAAAGTGGTGCATACCAAATACCAAGAAACTCTTAAATTCACGTAAATATTTAAAAGATTCTACTTTTCACTCAAGTTGTGGTCAGTAATATAATTTTTAATGAAACTTATTGAGGGAAAGTTGTTGTTCTCTCTAGTGGTCTCAGAATTTTGGATCCCATTGTGTGTATATTATTGCTTATGCTAATGATGAACAACGTCTGATGGAACCAAATGTACCCAATTTTATAATAATATGTATTTTTACTTGTAATTAGCTTTTAGAGCAAAGCGTTAAATGTGGTCATGGTGGTCTGATTAAATACATTAAATATATTGATTATATAAATATCTTTATATAGATAAAAGATACAAAGTAAAGGTACAAAAGATGTACCTATAATGGCACCACCCCAGCAAAAAGGACAGCTACAGTTTGTTGCCTTTATTTCGGAGAGTGTCAAAAAGTTAAAGCTGGTAACCATCCTGTAGGACGTATTTTGAAAGAGAACCTCAGGGAGAATGGGAGAACTTGGAAAACTGCCAAGACTGAACAATGTACTTTCTTGTTGCTAGAACTAACCTAGTCCCAGTAATGAGCCATGTCAAAAATATAATCCATTTTCAACACACCTGTATGTGGTGTCTTTTTCTTTTTGCTAAACGGTCTGCACTTATATAGTGCTTTTTTTAACCTCAGCAGTTCTACAAAGTGCTTTACACTGTTTTTCATTCATCCATTCTCACACGGACTCACACACAGTGGCAGAGCTGCCATGCAAGGCCCTAGCTTGCCATCTGGAGCAATTTTGAACAACTCAGTGTTATGCCCAAGAGCTTATGTAGACTAGTAGACAACCCGCTCTACCACCTGAGCCACAGCCGCTGTAATACCAAGAAATACCAAGAAATCAGAAGAGCCATTAAGAACAGTTCCATTACTAATGCCATTCTTCTAGTCTATACATGAACAGTTCTCAAACAATTCTGTGTTATTCAAATAGATAAACCCCAGATCACTTATATGGGATATAAATAGTGGTAACGTGGAATATTATATCAGATAGCCTATTCGTTTTTATCAGGCTGTACAATGTTAATGAGCTGATAATTTTATCAGTGACTAAGCAGATCAAATTGCTTTTCATTTACACCACCAATGACCAGACAGTTGTGGATTTAAATAATAGAAACCACATTAACCGTTAACCATGTTCTGATTATAGGGGCCTTGTTTGCCTGTAGAATACATGAAACGGGCATTTTCCATCTCCTGTTTAAGGAAATTAGCATGTTCCACTGAATGTCATTTCACTGTACGGTTCCAGTGCTTCAAGAACTTGTTTATGCCATCTAATTTAAAACCTGACCTCAGAAATAACCAAGAATATAAATAAATAAATTAATTAATTAATAAAGTGAATATTGCAAATGGGAAACGATTGTTTGTTTAAGTGCATTCTTGTTCTCCTCTGTTTTTCCCCCCTAAAAATTGTATTGTTTCAGCTTGTTCTCTATTAGTTTCCATGCTGCGGTTGATCTCTCTCAGGTCCTGCCTCACTTTGAGATCTTCTTTCATTCATGAGTAAGAACTTTATATTGGTCAGGTGGATCTGGAGCACTGGGTGTGCGGCAGGGAGACACCTTGAATGCAATGCCAATTCATTACAGGACACCAAGCTCAAACACACGTCCACACACTCATTTACACCTAGGGGCAACCTGGGACAGCCAGTCCACCAGCCAGGAACAAGAGGAGAATGTGTGACTGAGTCCACATGAATAGTAACCTGAGCTCTGGATTGAACCGAGGAGTTTTCAGATCTTCCTGCTGGGTGACAGACACATACTCCAAGTCATGGCTGTCTGTAGGGAGGCTGTAAAAATGTAACTTGTTTATTTATGGAAACAAACCTTGGCCTTTGGTTTGACTCATCAGCAAGAAGTTCTAGAACGGAGTTAAATGTTAGCACGTCTACTTGTAAAGGCTGCTAATACAATCATTATATTCTGAGCTTTTTATGATCTTTGGCTAACATTTTGAAATGGATTCAATACTCATTTTTGATCATATACATTTAATATGAAACATCTTTCATTTAAAATAATGAAGAGTGGAATCCTACAGGTAAGAGAGCAATGAAGAGGGAAAAATCACCTTCATTTTCCCTTCATTCACTCAACTTCAGGAAGTGCATGGTGAGCCTATCACATTAGCACTGTACAAGAAAGGAATACACCTTGGACGAGATGCAAATCTATCACACCTCCAGCTGTGTCTCATCTCCAGGATCCTTGGTTCAATCCCGAGCTTGGTTTTATTGTTTGTGCCTGTTCTCCATGTGGCCTTATGGATTTCCTTAGGATTCTCTGGATTTGATTGAGTTAGGGTTCATCTGGGTTAGGTAAGGGTTCTCTGGATTAGTTTAACTAACTGGCTACACTAGATTGAACATAGGGGTAAGTGTGTGTGTGCATAGTGCCTTGTGATGAGCTAGCATCCCATCTACGGTGTGTTCCCACCTAACACCTAGTATTCCCAGGATATTCTCTGGATCCACCACAATCCTGGCCATGATTAAGCTGTTATGAACTAATGAATAAAGTTATTTATAACTGGTCCCAAAATAAACCCAGTGTGGTCCTCATCTGCCTTCCTTGTGATTTCTTTATAAAAGTGCCATTACATGTGCAACCTTTTATTTTTAATGTAAAGTGATATTTAATAACCATTCATCTGTTCTTTGCTGCAGTGCAACACAATGTGTATACTATTTATAAGAATCAAATGTTTTCCCTATATGCTCTCTGTCTGTGACGGTTCGGGACCGTGTTGTAGATGGAGGCAGACTCAATACGGGCGTAGACGCAGATCAATGCTTTATTTAATAATACTCACAAACGTAGACACACTCTTCATTCAAAATAAAGGACGCAAAGCACAACGTCAACTTAAAGTCTCTCCATACTGAACTACAACATAGACACTAATATCTATACACATATATAATCACGAGCCCGGGAAACACAGGCACATAAATAAGGCAGGTAATCAAACTAAACATCAACACCTGCCGTGAGATCGCGTTCACGCGCAGACTAACCACGCCTGCGCGCGCCCGACTCAACTGCGCCCCAGCGGCCTCTAGCGGCCGTGGCGTGACACTGTCAAGGAACTTCTTCCTCGTGTATGTTGGTCAATAATGAATACAAATTTAATGACATTTTCCCAAATGCAGCTTAAAATGATGCATAATTTAAAACTCAGTTCACATGGCCTAAATAATTCAGAGGGAAGTTAGGCTATACTGTGATTTGATTTTGTGGGAAAACGAACTTAATATATGTAATTACAAGCCTATGAGGTGCATAAGAAAAGTAAAAATCATATAAAATATTTGCATTAAATTACATTCTGTTTGGTTAACAATTAAATTAGCGAAACAGGCAGAAAGAACAAAACAAGTTTTTTAGTTTTTTTTAATTTACACAGTTGTATTTAAAAAAGATATATATATAATATATATATATATATATATATATATAAAAAATAAAAAAAAAACTAAAGGGTTCACAAACTTTAGAGATAGTTTTGTAACCTTTTCCAGCCTGATGAGTATCAACTCTTGTCCTGAGGTCCTGAGAAATCTCATATGTTTGTGCCATGATACACTTCCACAGACATGTGTTATGAAAATCAGAATAGAAATTGAAAACATCTGACTCTAATTTCACCTTCAAATGAACTGATAATCTTAGAGGTACACATACTCTTCCCACTCACAGATATGTAATTTTGGATCATTTTCCATAATAAATAAATGACCAAGTATAATATTTTTGTTTTATTTGATTCACTAGGTTCTCTTTATCTACTTTTAGGACTGAAGTTTTAGATCACGTTTTTTGCAGATATCTAGAAAATTCTACGGGGTTCACAAACCATTGTCACAAGCACCATTGTACACCTTACCATCCTCTTAAGCAGAAATCACAGACTTCAAATGTATCCATCTTAATCCAACCCAACACTGTGTGCTTGAGAGCAACTGGGAAATTGAAGTCTACTAAACTTCAAAAACATCAATATTTTGTTTGTAACAGTTCATCTAAACTCTTTTCCTCCTATTTTCCCACTGATTACATGTTATTATAGCCTCTAGAAAGAATCCATTCTTCCTGATAACATCACAATATTTCCTGTATCCTCCACCCACCCAAATCCAAACCATAACAGATTAACACCCATTTCTTTTCTCTTTTTTTCTCCACAAAACAATAGATTCAGTTAAATTAGACCACAGCACTCACTTCTAAAATTCCTCTTTCATTGTTGGACTGGTGCACTACTTTTATCCTGACACCCATCTTTGGTCTTCACAATATTTTAATGACTTTTTGTCCATTGTCTATTGCTTAATGACATTACAGACAGTTAAAATAAAAACACAACAACAACAACAACAACAACAAAACAACAGCAGCAAAATCTACTTTGTAAAAGTTCATTTTATTTGTTCAAAGTAATTATCAGTCGGCTACTAAGATGTGGGTTGCATTGTTGTCTGAGAGTCTCTGATTCGGTCCTGAACTCAGGTTGTCTGGAGTTTCATTTGTTCTCTCGATGTTCTTGAGGGTTTCCTCCAGGTTCTCTGATTTCCTCCTACCTCCCAAATTCAT